ATCAGTATTACACTGGGGGGGGGGCAGGGAATTGGGGGTTCAGGGGGAATTTGGGGTCAGGGAGTTGTGGGGAGGGGTTTTTTTGGGGAAGGGTCTCACCTTTTCCCTGGTGCAGGCGATAGACCCCAGAGCCCACCGGCGCATTTCCCAGGTACTGATCTTGAGGGAATGAGAGACCGTGGCCTTAGGGATGGGGGGGACCCCCTCCCACCCCCCAAAAACATCCCCCCACCCCCAAAAACTCAGCCCCGAAAATCCCCTTCCCTCCCCATCCAAAATCACACCTGGGAAAATAAGGGTTAAACTCCCCCTTTTAACCCCCCAAATCCCCCATCCCCAAATCCACAGCTCCACCCACCCAATTCCCACTCCTCACCCCCAAAATCCTGCGCCCCCCACCCCAAAACCTTTCCAGGTTGATGTTGAAGATGAACAAAGATGGCCAAACCCCCCGAAATCCCCCAAAATCTCCTGAGCATGCCCCCCACCCCAATTTCTCACTGATATCTCCCCAGTTCCCCACTCTGGGGGAGGGTGGGAATGCCCAACTCCCCCCTTCTCACCCCAAAACCCCTTTTTCCACTCTCAACCCCCCCTGTTTTCACCCCAAAACCCCTTTTCACCCCAAAAAACCCTTTTTTCATCCCCAAACCCACTTTTTCACCCCAAAACCCCTTTAATCACCCCAAAATCCCTGTCTTTCACATGAAAGACCCCTTTAATCACCTGAAACCCCCATTTTTTTCTGCCAAAAAACCCTTTCCACCCCAAAAAACCCATTTTTCACCCCAAAAATCCCCTTCTGGCACCCCAAAACCCCTTCTGTCACCCAAAACCACCCTTTTTTCACCCCAAAACCCCCTTTTTTTCCACCCCAAGCCCCCTCCCCAGCCAGGATCGTCCGTACCCATGTGGTGGGGGCCGGGGTGGCCCGGGGGGTGCGGCCCCCCCCCCATGGGGGGATGGTGGGGCTGCATCCACGGGGGGGGCCCGTTGGGGGTGTGCTGCAGGGGGTGCCCCCCGTGACCCCCCCCCATGCCAGCCATGGGGTGGGGGAAGCTGTGGGGACCCCCGGGCCCCCCCGGCCCCCCGTGCAGCCCGTGGTAGGGACGGTTCTCCGAGGGCGCCGAGCTCGTTTTTGGGGGGTCACTCACTGTTCCCACACCTGACCAGGGGCTGGTTTTGGGATAGGAGTTTCAGGGGTGGCTGTGTGAATTCTGGGGGTTCCCAGAGGGGTTTTTGGGGGGGTCACTCACTGTTCCCACACCTAACTAGGGGCTGGTTTTGGGACAGGAGTTCAGGGGTCGGTGTGTGGACTCTGGGGGTTCCCAGAGGGGTTTTTGGGGGGGTCACTCACTGTTCCCACACCTGACCAGGGGCTAGTTTTGGGGCAGCAGTTCAGGGGTGGGTGTGTGGGTTCTGGGGGCTCACAGAGGGGTTTTTGGGGGGAGGGTCACTCACCGGGGGGGGCTGTCCCCCAGCCTGGCTGGCGGCACGGTGGCTGCTGGACAAGGGGCTGTTGTTGTGGGCGGCGTTGGAGCTCACGGACACCGGGGCCTCTCCCAGCTCGGCCATCAGGGACAGGTACTCCTTGTCCATCCGTGCCTTGTCCTGTGCAGACTGTGGGTCCCCAGGCCTGGCAACCCAGTGCAATGGTGAGCTTGGGGGGGGCTGCACCCCCAAATCCCCCCCACCTTAACTCTGGTGCACGGCCTAGGAAAAGCTCTGGAGGTTTTCAGAGGGGCGTGAGAACATTTAAGGGTATTTGGGGGGGTTTTGGGGAGATCTCAGGGAGATTGGCAGCATCACAAGGGGGTTTTGAGGGCTTGGTGGAATCCCAGGGAAGTTTAGAGGAGATTTTGAGGGATCTGGGGAGGGTTTGGGGAGATCTCGGGGCTCATTGAGGGAATCTCAAGGTTTGGGAATAGTTGAGGTCTCCGGGATTTAAGGAGCATTCTCGGGGAGAACCTCAAGCAGAGGATCTCAAGAGATCTGTGAGGATCTCGGGAGGATCTGGTGGATTTTTGGGAAGCATTTAGGGAATCCCACAAGGATCTGGGGGTTAATTTTGGGGGGGTCACCTGGCAAACTTGCAGTCGGAGGCGATGTGCCCGGCCCCGCCGCACTTGGTGCACACCGTGGTGTTGGTGATGCTGCGAGTCTCGGTGCTCTGCCACGGCCTCAGGATGCTGGGGAGGGGATAAGGATTATTCAGCGATTCTGGGGGTTTATTTTTAAATTAATTAGGGGGGGTGGAACCCCTCTGACCGGTTGTCATCCTCCCGCAGGGTCCCGTTGAGCCGCGCCAGCTCCCGCAGCTGCATCTTGCGCAGATCGTTCTGGTCCTCGGGGGTCTCGATGCCCTGCTTCAGGATGTTCCTGATCTGGGGGGCACAGCGGGTGTCAGACAGGGGGGCTGCACCTCCAGCCTCCCCCACAAACCCCCTAGGGACACCCCCAAACCTGCTCCACGGCTTTCTTGACGTTCTCCATGGTGTTGGCAGTGACCAGGGCGTGCAGGGGCTCGTCCTCGCCTGGCAGCATCTGCCCGTCCTTGCGGCCCACCTTGCCCTCCTTCACCGAGCCCTTGCCCCTGATCATGATCTTGGCATTGCACTCCTTCTCGATGTTCTTCAGAGTGTTCCCCCTGGGAGTGGGGCACCACGACAGGGAGGTCACACAGGGGTGATGGGTGGGGGGCACTCAGAGCTGTCACAGAGCCCACCTGTCCTCCTTCACCCTTGCCCTGGGTTGTGCTCCCTTTCCGTGGTCTGCTTAGGAATTTTGGGGAGGTCTCACCCCCAGACTGGACCCCACATCAGGGGGACGGGGGACCTGGCTCATCAGGAGCTCAGGCTCATTACGGACAGGGGTGCATAATTAAACAGCCCTGTGTTAATTAGGGGGGACTGAAGGAGGACTGTGGGGACACCCACACTGGGACCCTGCAGGTGCTGGGATGGGGACCCAGCAGCACCTCGCTGTTTTCAGGAACTCCCCACATTTCTGGGGCGAAGCTGAGGGGATCCCCCCCCAGCCCCAGAGCCCTCTCACCCCCCCAGAATGTCGGGGTGCCCACCTGGGCCCGATGAGGAGCCCCACGAAGTTGATCTCGGGGTACTCATCCTGCGGGATCATCACCTTGTCGCTCACCCGCGTCGCCGGCGGCCTGGGGAAGGACAAAAATCGGGGCTCAAACCCATGGGAGAACCCCAAACTGGGCAGAACCAGCCCCAAATCAGGGTGAGGGGAGGGGTCTCTCCTCACTTGTAATCAGCAGGGGGCTTGAAGTCGGGGTTCAGGGCCACCATCTCGGTGATGAGGTTGTGCCTCTCCTCCTCCAGCTTCTTGCGCGTGCGGAACTCCCGCGTGTTCAGGCGCTTCCCCTCGCTGTTGTAGATGGGCTCCGGGGAGGGGGACCTGCTCCGGGGGGTGGGGGGGTCACTGGGAGGCCCCCAGACCCCTCGGGGGGGGCTGGACCCCCAGAACCCCCTCCCAAACCCTCCCAGCCCCCGGGTGTGGGGGGTCTTCCCTCCCCTCGCTGTTGGCGATGGGGAGAGGGATGTGGAGGGGTGGGGAGAGGTCAGGACCCCCCCTCCCCAAACCACCACAACCCTTCCCCCCACCGCCACCCTGTGCCACTGCCCCCACCCACCCCCAGGAGGGGATAACTGGGGGGGGGAGCGTTAATTAGTGCCCAATTAAGGCCAGCAGAGCACAGCCCTCCCCCTCCCCAAACCAGCGGCCCCTCTTTGCCCGTTTCTCTGCGGTTTGGCCTTTGCTGGGTCAGGGTTTGGCCCCTTTGTGCCCGGTTTTGTTGTTTCTCCCTGGCTTTGCCCCGTTCCTGCTCCTTTTCTCCCAGGTTGTGCCCAGTTCTCCCCGTTTTTTTTGCCCAATTTCCCGGTTTCTAGGAGGAAAAGGTCCCTGTCTGGGGGGGCCGCGCGGCTTTGGCAGCCCCGGAGGGAAGAGTCAAGGTCGCTTGAGCTGAGCCGTGTCGGGGTGAGAAAATCAGATTATGATTAAAAATCAGAATTATCAGCGAGGAAGGAAAAAAAAATAAAAAAGAGTCAGAATCGCTCGGGTTTGGTTAAATCGGCCCTTGGCTCCCCTCCCCCCCCAAAATAGCGAATTTTGGCAGCGGCTGCAAGAAGGGAAGAGATTAAGGCGGATCCTCCAAAAACAGCCGGCGCGGGCGACAGTCGAACCTGCCCCCGGTTTGGGGGGAAAAAGCGACTTTTCGGGGTTGGCAGCAGCCGGGTCCTCGGTGGAACTGCGACGTCACTGTCCCCGCTCGTGATTAATCGTTAATTCATTAATTAATTCCCCCCCCAACCAGCGCTAACGACGCCGCAGCGGGGGAGCGGCCTCGGCCCGGGGCGCTGCAGGAGCAAGGCTGGGTTAGCGCGGGGGGCCTGCGCCCCCCCCAAACCTGGGAGACCCCCAAAACCTGGGGCTGTGTGTGGTAGGGGGGGGGTGGTGTGACCCCCAAAACCTGGGGGGCCAGAGGGTGTCCATCTGCCCCCCCGGTGCTGGGACTCGGGAGGGCCCCCCCGGCCACCACGGGGTGAGGGACCCCCGAAAGGTGAGGGATCCCTGAGGACACAGGGACCCCCCCGGGGTTGGGGACCCCTGGAAGGTGAGGGACCCCCACAGAGCTGGGGACCCCCCCAGAGCAGGGGTCCTTGAGGGGGGAGGGACCCCGTCCTGCCCTGCCACAGAAAAATGGGGCCAAAACAGGAGGAAAAGGTGAAGAGAGGGAGTGGAGGGGGGAATTTGGCCCTTTGTAGGGACAACGGCAGCTCTGCCCCCCCTGCAGAGACAAACTGGGGTGAAAAGGGGGGGAAAGCAGAGGAAAAAGGGGGTGCAGTGGGGCTGGGGCCTCATTAAGCCCCCTGAGCTCATTAAGCCACCACCACGGGTCGTTAATCCTCACCTAACGAGGCCCAGGCTGGGCTCAGCACCCCCAAACTCAGGGGGAACACCCCAAATTGGGGGGTGGGGGGAGGTTCCAGAGCAGCACCCCCAAACTGAGGGGGGGGTGCCCGGGGGGGCAGGGGGGGGAGGTCCCGACCTGTCCTCGGGGTTAGGGGGGATGCCCAGGTCTCCCGTGCGCAGTTTGCGGGTCAGGTCTTCGATCTGCAGTTGCACTGGAAGGAACCCGGTCCCGGAGAGGTGAGAGAGACACAGTTACAAAACACCCACATTTTACACCCAAAAAAAATAAAAATTAAATAAATAAACCATTCCTCCCCCAAAATCATCCTGCCCCAATCTTTTTTTTTTTGGCTTTTTTGGGTTTTTTTTTAATACCTACACCGGCTCCATGGCACCAAAACCAGGCATTACTGCCCTAAAACCAAATGGTTACGGTGAGAAAAAGCAGGTGTTGTTACCTAAAATTGACATTATTAGCAGAAAAATACACCTTCTTAGCGATGACAGCAGGTTATTACCCCAAAAAAACACATTGTTACCCCAAAAAACGTGTTATTACCAAAAAAAGCAGGTTATCACAAAAGAAAAATAAATCACATTGTTATCAAAAAAATCACAGGATTACCCAAAAAAAGCACATTATTACCAAACCTCCTGAATTCTTATGGAAAATCTAGAGATTGTTATCATAAAACCAGACATTATTACCTAAAATAAAAGATTATCAGTAAAAAAAAAGACATTATTTCCTAAAATACCACACTGTCACCTAAAATGTGAGATTATTACTACAGAAGGTAAACGTTATTACCTAAAACAACCACAATTTTACCTAAAACGAGAGATTATTCCTAAAAAAATACACATTGCCTAAAATAACCACATTATTACCCAAAACACATGACTACTACTAAAAAAAGCAACTGTTATTACCTAGAACAGGAGATGTAATTAAACACAGTCATTATTACCTAAAACACCTGATTATTACTAAAAATAAAGGTTATCAGAAGAACATTGTTACCTTAAAACACACAATAACACCCAAAAATAGGTTATTACCAAAAAATGAACGTGGTTAACCAAGAGATTGTTGCATTATTTTGACACATTTTCACCTAAACCTGCACATTATTGCCCAAAATTGCAAGTTTTGGGTTAATTAATTTCCCCTAAATTCCAGGGGGTTCTGACCCCAAATCCTGGGGAGGTTCTGATCCCAAATTCCCCAGATTTAATCCGAAATTTGGGGATGTTACTGATGTGAGCACGGGGAATTTAATCCCAAATTCTGGAGGTTTAGCCCCAGAATCTCAGGGGGGTTCTAACCCCAATTCCAGGGGGATTTTAACCCAAAATCCTGTAGGTTCTGACCCTAAAATCCCGTTTTTCCCTCAAAACTTTACTGATGTGAGCGTGCTGCTGCTCGCCCCTCAGCCTCGGGGGGTGGGCAAAGAAATCTGAGCCTAAACCCCGAGTTCTGAGCCCAAACCCTGAGTTCTGAGCCTAAACCCCGAGTTCTGACCCTAAACCCCGAGTTCTGAGCCTAAACTCCAAGTTCTCACCCAAAACTCTGAATTCTGACCCTAAACCCTAAGCTCTGACCCTAAACCCCGAGCTCTGAGCCCACACCCCAAATTCTGACCCTGAACCCCGAGTTCTGAGTCCAAACCCCAAACCCTGACTCTAAACCCAAAGCCTTGACCTCAAACCTGAGTTCTGACCCTAAACCCAAAGCTTTGAGCCCACACTCCAAGCTCTGACCCCAAACCCCAAACTCTGACCCTAAACCTTGAGCTCTGACCCTGAACCCAAAGCTCTGACCCTGAATCCAATGCTCTGACCCTAAACCCTGAGCTCTGAGCCCACACCCCAAATTCTGATCCTAAACCCCGAGTTCTGAGTCCAAACCCCAAACCCTGACCCTAAACCCAAAGCCCTGACCCCACACCCCCAGCCCTGACCCTAAACCCTCAGCTCTGACCCTAAACCCAAAGCCCTGATCCCAAACCCAAAGCTCTGACCCTAAACCTGCAACTCTGACCCTAAACCCAAAGCCCTGACCCCAAACCCTCATCCCTGACCCCACACCCCCAGCCCTGACCCCAAACCCAAAGCCCTGACCCCAAACCCAAAGCCCTGACCCCAGCCCCCCAGCCCTGACCCCAGCCCCCAGCCCCCGCGGTCCCCCCCGGTCCGTTACCGATGTAGGCGCGCTCCTGCTCGCGGGTCAGCCCGGGCGGGATCACCGTGGGCATCCCCGGGATCACCGTCTTCTGCTCCAGCGAGTCCTGGTTCCAGCGGCTGCGCTTCCGCTTCCGCGGGAAGTCTGGGGGGAAAACGCCGCGGTTCGGGCAAAGCCGGCAGCGCTGACCCTCCCGGAGGGTGTTTTGGGGGGTCTGGGGGCGTTTTGGGGGGGTAAAAGGGGAAGTTCTGTCCCCCCGCGGGGGTTTGGGGGTCCCGTTCTGAGGGTTCCACCTTGGCCTCGCGTGGTCTGACACGTGTCCGGCCGGCCGGGGGACAAGGAGGTGTGGAGGTGGCAGAACCCCCCGAATTGGGGGGATCAGAGCCCGGGGAACCCCAAACCGGGGCGGTCAGAGCACAGGGACCCCCGAATTGGGGGGGATCAGAGTGCAGGGACCCCCAAAATGGGGGGGATCAGAGGTCGAGGACCCCCAAATCGTGGGGATCAGAGCCCGGGGACCCCCGAATTGGGGAGATCAGAGCCCGGGGAACCCCAAACCGGGGCGGTCAGAGCACAGGGACCCCCAAAGTGGGGGGATCAGAGCGCAGAGACCCCCAAATTGGAGGGATCAGAATCCAGGGACCCTCAAATTGGGGGGATCAGAGCCCGGGGACCCCCAAACCGGTGGGGATCAGAACCCGGGGACCCCCAGATTGGGGAGATCAGAGCCCGGGGACCCCCGAAAACCCCCAAATCAGGGGGATCAGAATCCAAGGACCCTCAAAACGCGGGGATCAGAGCCCGGGGACCCCCAAATCGGGGGGTTATAACGCGGGGACCCCCGAATCGGGGGGGTTACAACCCTTGGAGACACAAGTCGGGAGGATTTAAGTGCCGGGGACCCCCAGAGTTGGGGGTTATAGCCCGGGGACGCCTCCCAGACCCTCCCCACGACCCCTCCGGAGGGCCCCAAAACCGCCCTGACCCCCCGGTATCCCCCTGCCCCGGGCCGTACCTGCCCTCCGGGGCTTGTGCGCGGCTCCCGCCCGTCCCCCCGCATCTCCCGGCCCGGTGCCCGCTCCCGCCGCGCCCTCCTCGGGCCGCGGCTGCTGCGGAGCCCCCGCGGGCTGGGGGGGGGCGGC